TGACAGCCTGTCTTCCAAGGGCATTGAACGATACGGGTGCACTTACCTACATGCAGGCAATACACGCATATACATAAAATAAAAATAAAATATTTTTTAAAAAAAAGAAAGAAAAAAATTTAAAGTATCTGCACAGAAGCATTTAGAGTGTACTAAATCAAAGACAGACTCCCCACATAAAAGTGGGCAGACCACAAGCTGAACAAGTTGAATTAGAACACTGATTTACATTTTAAACATTTAAAAAATATTACATTTTACTTATTTAGCGTGTGTATGTATGTGAGCATGCATGTCATGGTATGTGTGAGCATGCATGTCATGGTGCATTTTACAGGAGTTGGTTCTTTGATTCCACTGTGTGAGTCTCAGGGTTGAACTCAGATCACCAGGCTTGACAATAGGTGCCTTTACCTCTTGAGTCATCTTGTTGGTCCAGTTTTTAAAAAGTATTTTATTTACTATTTTTATTTTATGTGTATGAGTCTATTGCCTGCATTGTGTAAGTGCACCATGTCACGCAATGCCCATGGAGGTCAGAAGAGGGTGTTGGATCCCCTGGAAGTAGAATTAGTAACAGTTGTTAGCTGTGATGTAGGTGTTGGGAATCGAACTAGGGTCCTCTGCAAGAGCAGCCAGTGCTCTTAACTGCTGAGCCAACTCTCCAACCCCTTGTTGGTTCAATTTTACAACATTTTTTATATTGTATTATTTTATGTGTATGAGTTTATTGCCTACATGTATGTAAGTATACCCCTGTCATGCAATGCGCACAGAGGTAGAAAGTAGGAGTCTGATTCCCCTGGAACTGGGGTTACTGGATGTGGGTGCTGAGAATCAAACCCAGGTTCTCTGCAAGAGTAGCCAGTGCTCTTACCCGCTTCCCCCTCTCCAGCCACAGATTTTGCAACACTTTAACCAACACTGGTTTGTTATCAAACTCTAGTGCAGAATTCTTACAGTTTGTAAAAAGAGACTGCTAATAAAGGGGAGGGAGGGAGGAAAGAAGGGAGGGAGGGAGAGGGAGCTAGATTCTCTTCTATATTAACATAGTTTAAGTTGTGCCTAGGCTTCCGTGCTGGACGTCACGTCTGAGCTTCTCTTGAGTTCATAGGTTACATTCCTGTCAACAGCATAAACTTGCTCTTCTTGTTTAAAATGAAATTGTTGTTTGTGACACTCATAGCCTGCCTATCCCTTTCCAGGAGCTGCCTCCCTGCTTCCTTGCCCAGATGAGCCATAATCCAACTTTAGCTGTACAAAAGAGGACAGGGACTTAGTGTGTGGTCCCAAGGAATGATGAAGCGGTAAGATGCACAAGTCACTGAGTTATGGGTCAGGGTTCTCACCAACCTACCAGCCTATAGTAAAGAGAAATAAATATCTGTCTTCTTAAAAACACTGTCATTTGGGGTCTGCTTGTTATAGAAGCTTAGTCTTAAACCTTAACTAATAAATCTATCACTGATTCCTTCTAAATGCATTATTGTCTGTACATGGTAGTACATACCTATAATCCCAGCACTCAGTGGGTAGAGGCAGGAGGACTACATGACAAGACCTGTTTTAAAAAATAATATATAAAAAAATTTAATTTAAAAAAGATATATATGGACTGGAGAGATGGCTCAGAGATTAGGAGCACTGGCTGCTCTTACAGAGGACCCAGGTTTGAATCCCAGCACCCACATGGTGACTAACAACCATCCATAACTCCAGTTCCAGGGGATCCAATGCCCTCTTCTGACCTCCTCGGGTCTTGCACGACACAAGTACGAAACACTCATACACATAAAATAAAATGTAAAAAGATACCTTTTCCCTCTTACAGAAGCATAGGGCTGCTGTCACACATCTTTGGTGTCACACCCAGGGATACTTGGCTGAGGCGGCTGTAACCTGCCTCCCTAGTGCTTCTTGCTGTCATTACTAGACATTGGGACCAAACCCTGTGGTTTGATTTTTAAAAGCTGGAGTTGTGATAGTTCCCAACCTGTTTTCCTTATGAGCTCAAGAAATATGTTCTTCCATGAAAACACTCACATTATGTGTCTCTCAAATTTAGCGCTCCACTCTTTCAAAGGAAAATAGGGCACACTTAGTGTGATGCCAAAGTGGATTCTCAGGCATAGCTTTTCATCTCTGATTCTGGTGACTCATGACCTGAGGTCAGCCATTGTGTGCTCTATTTCCTTCTGTGATGAAACAGTCATCCTCTTTGGTTGTCTTTCTTAGAAAGCTTTTGTGAAAATCTTCAGTTGATCTCCATAAGACACCCATGAGATAGTTACAGCACTGTGCATGGTGCTGAGTCTGCGGCTCTGTTGCTCTCCACTTTATTCCTTTGAAACAGGGCCGGTTCTCTGAACCTGGAGCTAGGCAGGCAGCCAGCAATCCCAGGGTTCCTGTCTGTGCTGCCCACAGTGCTGGGGTTTCAAGTGCCACACAGACACACCATGGGTGCTAGGACCCCCAAAATCAGGCCTTTATGCTTTCTCAGCAAGTGCTCTTATCCAGTGAGCTATCTCCCCAGTTCCCTATATTTTATTATTTTATATGTATGGGTATATTGCCTGCATGTTCGTGTATGCACCATGTGGGTGCAGTGCCCATGGAGGCCAGAAGAAATCGTTGGATACCCTGGAACCGGAGTAACAGAGGGTTGTTAGCTACCATGTGCGGTGCTTGGAACTGAACCCGGGTCCTCTGTAAGAGCAGTCAGTGCTCTTAAACCACTGGGCCTTCTCCCCAGCCTTAAAAAGTATCTCCTAAGAGATCACTGCCTTCTCAGTCACCTCGACCAACTAAGTTCTCCAGATGGAACTAAGAAGCAAGGAAAGCAGAAACTAGGGCATGGGAGAGGGCCACATCATCCTTGGAAGCTATCACCCCAAACTTCCAAGCCAGAAGGACAACTGGATAAACAAGGTGGTGGCAGGTGTTCCCTCGCCGTCATTTATGCAGCCAAACCACAGTTTTGCATAGGCAGCCAGGAAACACACAGCCTTCTGCTCTAACGAAGAACTGGATTGTAGTTTGGCTGCAGGCTGATCACCTGGGCCTCGTTTAACTGCTGTTTCTCCCTGCGAGGAGGTGCAGAGGTCTTGAAACCCTGGAGGGGGATTTAAGAGCGGTGAGGAAAACCAAGGCCCATCTGCAGGAAGTTTCCTTTGCTCTTCCAAAGCAGGCGCAGGGAGGGGTACCTTCAGTGCCTCAGAATCTTGTTCCCTTTAAGTCTAAAGTCCTCCTGCACTTTGGTTCTGTCTTCCCATCGTCTTTTTTAAACTACAGAAGCCCAGATAAAAGAACGTGGTAAGCCAAAACTGAAAATGGGCCGCATGTGTACACACACACACACACACACACACACACACACACACACACACAGGCCCAGATAAAAGAACGTGGTAAGCCAAAACTGAAAATGGGCCGCATGCGTACACACACGCACACACACACACACACACACACACACACACACACACACGCAGCGTTTGTTCCCCTGATATCTCATCACACCCTCAAGCAGGGGATGACTGGCCGCTTTGCATTTCCTGTTCTTCAGCAAGATTGAAGGTGAGGCCTCTGAAGAGGAAACACTGCATCAAACAGAGTTTGGAAAGCACGTGGGAATTTTCCTTAGGAGCAGTACTCGGTGGGAATAGTCTTGCAAAATCAGACAAAGGTGGGAGCTGGGAGCTCGACTGCAGGAAGGGAGAAGGAGGGACCAGCTTCACCGTGGGATCAAGAGTTGAAAGGAAGGTCACTAGAGCTTCTAGTGGCGCTGGGAAGGATGGGTAGGGCAGGTACTAGCGTGCTCTCGGAGGCGCTCCCTTAGTGCATGTCTGGACCACCCAGAGGGAGTGGGGCCGGCGCGCAGGTCAAACACCTAGACTTTCCACCCGGATACGAGCTGGCCCTGGGGAAGGCGGGTGGGACCTTGGACCCGCCAGGGACGGCGAGGAAGAGGGCGGCGCCTTCCGCAAGGTGCAGGCGAACACCTAGGCTCCCACGCTCCAGGGGCGGGCGCTAGGACCCGGGCGGCGTACCTGTTGGCTGGCGCCGCGCCCCGCCCGCCCTGCGCCGCTAGCACCCGGCCGTGTGCGCGAGGCCGAGGCGGCAGCAGAGGACACGGTCGCGCGTGGCAGCGGCGGTGGCGGGCGGAGGAGCGCGGCGGATCACCATGGCCGAGCTGCTGCGGAGCCTGCAGGATTCGCAGCTCGTGGCGCGTTTTCAGCGCCGCTGCGGGCTCTACCCGGCGCGGGAGGAAGGTCCCCGGGAGGACAGTGCGGGCCCTTCGGAGCGGGCGGCGCGGGCCCCCGAGGCTGCGCATCTCCCGCAGGTAACGGCCGGCAGGTGTCCGCCGGAAGGAGGAGGGCGACGGGCGCTGCGCCGCCTGCGGACCGGGGTCCTGGCGACTCTGGGATGGGGACCCGCGGGCTCCTTCCTCCGCGGCCACCCGGCCCCCACCCAGGGGAGGACACGGCGGAGGGGACAGTCACCGGGCTGCCACCTACCGCTGCAGGTGGCAGCTCGGTCTTTTCAGACAGATGCGCCCAGAGCCTTTGCATGCATCTGTCTAGACTTTCTACTTTAATTACTGTTATGAATAAGTTCGTGTTCCAGTAGATTCTGACGGCTATGTAAGAGTTACGTAACTGAACGGAGAAGCTGGGATGTCCTTGGCACTTCTTTGGGATGCGTTCTGAGAACTCCCCCGGAGTCCTTGGGTTGCCGCCGCCGCTGCTTGTGCTAGGCACAAACGCGGAGCCTCTGGGCCGGTGCGGGCTTGGCGTTGCCTCGATCACTGACTCAGCACAGAACTGCGCTAAACACACGCTGCTTCTAAAGAGATTCACAGCCTTCCCAGCCACCCTCAGGGAGGGTGTTCCAATGGCATCTCCCTCCCGCCCTCTCCAGTCTTCGCATCCCTCCAGCCTGGTGGGTCTTTCTAGGCGCCCAGAATCTGGTTACACAACCCTACTGCGGCTTCGCAGTGCTCAGGGACTCCAGGCAGAAGGGACCAGGCAGGCTGCAGATGGCAGCTGGGGATGCTGGTCTATCCTGGGCATCCGCGGAAGCTGCCCTTCCCCTGGGCTATGCAGAAAGCGGCATGCCAGGACGGAAGCAAACTCTAGTTTTCTTTTGTTTGTTTTTTAAAGCCATGTTTTGTTCTTCCTGGAAGGTTCTGGTGACTGGAAGATGGGGTGTTCTTATGTATAGAAACTAGAGGAACCTGGTTCTTGTGTAGGATGGGATACTAGGGAAGTCATTTGGAAGGGTGGCAGGGGGTTGGTTGTGTGTTCCATGTTAGAGAGGTTTTCCTCTGTACCATTTTTCCCTGGTGTGGTTCCTTCCCTGTGGTATGAAGCATGCTAGTCGCTTTTAGATTAATTCAATACCCTCTCTTTACTCTTGTCCCTAATGATCTCCTAGCATTTCCTGTGGAGGCTCTGCTTATACTCAGGACTGGCCTTGAGCCGGCTACTTCTGTCTTTCTGTTGCTCTCCTCTCCAGCCGGTACCCTGTCTCTCTAGTTCAGGAAGCTGAGTTGTGAATTTTTCTACTGGTGCTTTTCAAACTGTACTACATATTCCCTTTGATAACATAATTTCAGATTCTGGAGAAAAGTCCTCTACCCTGCCCTCCCATTTTGTGTGTGTGTGGGGGGGTTCTTTTTGAGACACAGACTCCCTGTAGCCCCAGCTGGCCCGGACTCAATATAGACAGCAGACTGGCCTCTATCTAGGAAGATCAGCCTATCTCTACTTCCTGAATACTGGGATTAAAGGCATGGCCACCAGGCCCTGCTGTCCTCTTCCTTTTAAAAGCAAATCAAGCAAACTTCTTGCTACTTAAAGTGCCCAGGTGGTTAGGAGAGCCAAGGTGTGAGGATCCCCTTTCCCATCCCACACTGGATTTCATTTATTATATAGAGCCCATGAAGTAAAAAAGAACTGAAAATTCAGGATAGGAAATCTTTTTTGCATTGGCTATAACAGGGAAAAATTAACTCTAGAGTTTTTGATAAGGATGAGCTTAATGAATGTTTTTAAAGGAGGGGTGATGGTTTTAAATGGCTTGGGAAGGTAAATCCTAAAAAATACATGGGAAGTTCCCAAAGGAATAATTGCATCCCTGTCCTGGAAACTCACAGGGCTTTAAGGAGACAGCTGAAAGAGCTCTTCCCTGGATCATTTTTCCCTTCGCCTCTGGCCTTTACCCAGGTGATACCTTTCAGTAATTTGTTTTTAGACAATAGCTTGCTATGTAGCCCAGGAGGGCCTTGAACTTGCAAAACTCCCACCTCAGCTTCTGAGCGCTGGGGCTACAGGTGTGTACCATGAAGCCAGACACCCTTCAGCAGTCAAAGGCATGTTCATCAGAAGGCTCTTTGCTGACTTCCAGGCTAGCTCCTGTTTTTTTGTTTTGTTTTGTTTTGTTTTTTTAGAAGCATTTCATTACAGCTTTAATATATTCAGTAACAATTTCCAGAGCAAGGATACATCTCTTTCAAAAGTGGCTCCAGTCGGGGGTGGCGGGGGCATGGGAGGGTGCCATTTGGGAAGTGGGCATATAGATGAATAAGATTATGTGGGATGTTCTGTATAATATACATACAAAAAAATCAACAAATTAAATAAAGAGACATATTTGAGGAGGAAGCATAAAAATTTACTTCATGTTAATTAGTAGAGGGGATAAACATTACCATTGAAATCTACCTGATGACTTTATATCCATACTCAGGTGCTAGCTCCTGTTTTGCGAGCTGTCCTCACTCCTTGAGGTGTGTTCCTTGCAGCCTTAACTGCATTGTGTAAGCATGCCTTTGTGTGGATATCTGACCATCCCAGTCTCCTCCTGAATCTCTAGCAGTGCAGAAATTTGTCTGTTCATATTTTCTGTCCTTGACTTGGTACCTACTAGGTCTTTGGATTTTGTTACTATCTGAGTACAGAATGCAGTAGAAAAATCAATAGCTTTAAAAAATTTAAACAGAGAATACTGACTATCAAATTAAAATATCAAATGATTTTTCCACACAGCCTAAGAGACAGTGCTGGGACATTGATTTAGGATCTTTTAAACAGATGAGAAGTTGTTAGTTTCATTTGAGTAACTTTAGATCTCAAAGAATCAAATTCACCTTCCACATTTTCTATATTGATTTTAATCCTTAACACTGGGCAAGTAGGGAATGAATAAGGACTTGCTCAACAAATTCTCATGCCACACACTTTTAGCTTAAAGATTAACCATGTCTTGTACAAACTAGGGTGTGACTTGACTTGCATAAAGTCATCGTTGAAAAAATGAACTGGGCCTTAGACATTTCCCAGTAGGTTTGAGTACTGAGGGTTAGGTGACTTGTTGAGAGTGTCCCATCTATCTGCACAGTCAGGGAAGCTAGATCTTTTGATTCTGAAGTCTAAACTCCTTTCTGCTGTGTAGCTTCCAGGGAGAAGCTCCAGGGCTTTACTGTGTCTGCCTTGCTAAGATGATGGTGGCATTAAACTGGGTGGGTGAGGCGGGGAAGGAGATAGAATGAAGCATTTTGGGCCTGGTGTGGTGGCACACACCTTTAATCCCAGCATGAAGGAGGCAGAGGCAGGAGGATCTCTGTAAGATTGAGGCCAGCCTGGTTGTACATAGGGAGTTCCAGGTCAGCTGAGGTTATAAGGAGACCCTGTCTCAAAAAAAAAAACAAAATAAAACAAAAAAACAAAAATCACAAGATTGCAGTATTAACTTTTAGAGGGCACTCTTGAGAGGCCTTGGGGAAGGGAGAGGGCTACCCTGCCACATCCTAGGACTGGATAGGGAGGATGAGGCCAGGACAGAATCATATTTATCTGTTCTGAGGTCAAGCCAAACTTGAATACAATGTTGTTTTGATTTCTAACATCCTCAAAGCCCTAGACAGTTGTATTTAGACTTTGCTTTGCCTTTTTTCATCATTACATTGGACTGGGTACAATCTTTCCAAACACTGTCTCCAATAAACACTTTCAATAACTGCTCACGCATAGTTCTAAAGTTTGGTTGGGGAGGGATCAAAAATAGGCTGTGGTTAAAAAAAAGATTTTATTCTAAAATGTCATAATGATATTTAACACATTATGTGCTGATTAACAATAACATAAAAAAGAATGGTAGAAAAGATTATTAATACCAGAGGAGTGACACAGTAAAAGCCAAACATCACCATCATCATCTCTGACTGTCGGGAGGCCCCAGGATGAAGCAAACTAGAAGAGCCAACCTCAGCGTTCTCAGGTTTTAAAAACCAAAGTTTAATTAAGAAAGGGAAAGCATGTCCTGTGAAGAGCTCAGGCCCATAAAACTAAGTTCCAGGATGACTTTTGGAGTTTGTTTGGGGTTAGTTTGCATTCCTTTTTTAAAAATTTTATTATTTTTATGTGTATGCGTGTATTGCCTGCATGTAGGTAAAGTTATCCATGTGATGCAATGCCCACAGAGGACAGAAGAGGCTGTTGGATCCCTTGAAACTGGAGTTACGGGCAGTTGATAGCTGCCATGTGGGTGCTGGGATTCAAACCTGGGTCTTCTGCAAGGACAGTGTTCTTAACTGGTGAGCCATCTCTCCAGCCCTAGTTTGCATTCTTACTGTTTTATTTTCAGTCCTGGTTATGTTGGGGCATATCATAGCATTTTACATGAATGAGTTATACAATGTGTCAGGCTATAAAATATCTGTCATAGAATATGAAAATAAGGGACTGGACAGATAAGCTCAGTAGGTAAGAGCACTGACTATTCTTGCAGAGGACCTGGGTTTGGTTCCCAGCACCCACATGGTGGCTAACAGCCATCTGTAACTCCAGTTCAGGGGATCCAACCCTCTCTTCTGGCCTTCATGGGCAATGCACCCAGGGATAAACGTACATAAACACAGGAAAAACATTCATATGCATAAAAACAAAAAAAATGAAAAAAACAGGTTGTGTTTAGAAATGTTTGTACTTCTATTTTCCCTTTTCAAATTTTTGGGGCTCTCTAAGTCTGTTCATCTACAAAGTCCCAACCTTAAATTTATTGGCTTGTTAACCTCCTGGGAATCAGGAGACTGGGACCTGCCTCTGGCTCTGTGTCGTTTGGGCTTCCCTTGTTCCATCTGCACAAGAGCAAAGTAGAACAGAACTGTGCTTTGCTAAGGTGGTTTTACAGTGTAAAGGGACAGAACTTTAAAAGCAAGTCAGATAAAATAATGTCCAAGGTGAAGACCCATGAAGCTGGCCAATAGCTGAGATGTTCTGAATTCCCTTGCCCTGGGGCCTACCTAGGGTGTTCACTATGAGGGTGGCAATGGCCATGGCA